TGACAGTGCTATATTAGCTCGCTGAAGAAAAAATGGGAGCCGATTTCCCGCTCTTAACGTAATTTATACGGACCGGGTGGGGCCCACACAGCAGGTGGGCGTGGACTAATTTTTTCAGTGCTTATGCTCTGCATAACGGGATAAACCCACTAAAGCGAAGGCCTTAAAGGGCGAAGCTTATACGACATAGAACTGGGACTTTCAGGTCCCGAGTCGGCTGCTCTGCCTCTACCCTATCTTGGCCACCTCGATATATTGTTAGGAATGATAATTTAGGTCGATATAGATGCTTGCGGACCTGTTGGTATCTGTGATAACAGTCCCATCATGTGTCGACATAAACATTTCTAATTTTCACCTCTAAAATGCTGGAACCAGCCGTAATTGTACAATGTATCCAGCAGAGGGCGCATGAAGACTACTTTCAAGTCATGGCCGTTCACTTAAGTTTCACTTTCAGGGCAGATGAAGCACGGAGCAATACTGTGTCGTGTATTTTGCTGAACAGAGCATTGTAAGTTTATTTTAACTGATCTGCAAAACAAATTAACAATAATAAATTATCTTCAATCCTATAACCTGCTTGTCATTAGCTACGTGCCTCTCAGGTTAGCAAGCTAACGTTAGTGTTCAGTTGCACCATCTTCACAACATTAACCCCGTTAGTAGTTATGGCAACCAGTTCTGTCAGACCGAGCTTCTAGTTTGTGAGGACATCCAGTGTTAGTAAGGGCGGTATGATAAGATGAAGTAGAGGCAGGGCAGCTGACTCAGGACCCGAAAGTCCCAGGCTCTGATTAGCTTAGCTTCATGGTTGCTAACAGCTGCGCTAAATAAACAAGCACTGCTCCACTCGCTGTTTTCTTAGATAGTTGGGGGTGTACAACACAAAAAAATGTTCAGCCAATTTATTGGTTATCGGCAGCTGCCCTCCCCTCCCAATATTGGTGTCGGCGATTGTCAAAATTTCTGTATCGGTCGGGCTCTAGTCCATATTCATTCTTCAGCTGAGACACCCGCCAACATTGCACGTCGTGGACATTTTGCTATCATATTGTAAAATACCACGCAAACAAAATTCTATTACATTTGTGTGCAGAAGTCAATTACAAAAACAAATGTAACAGACTCAAAGACTGGAGTAAACTGTTGAACATGAATACCTGAAATAACTAAAAATGCATTTGGGGTGTGGTGCCTGATTTTACACTAAACATTAGTAACGTAAAAGAGTCATGAATAAGTATTAGCATAGTTGTGATATTATCTGTAGAACTGTACAGTGTTGTACTGAGAAACCTTTACATTCTGTTGACAAAAAAACAAGCACAAAGATGGAATGGAGGAAAGGAAACTGTACATGTTTATAGATCATGCGACTGTATTGCAAAGATTTCAATGTCAAATCAAACAGATAATTGTTAGCACCGTCTTCACCACGATGACCTGCTGAATGGCTTTGTGTTGCTGCCATATAGCTCTTTGTGTTAACAACAACTGAACAGGTGAACCTCAAAAATGGTTACTGGTGTCTATTTACAATATGTTAGGTCATTGTAAATCCAAACATCTACAAACTGGTCTGCAGTGAACCAAATGCATCCAAATGAAACCATTCCCTCTGGGTGTTTACCAGTTTTGTCATTAAATGAATTTTGGTGTCTGAAAAGACTACACATGAAAACACAGCAGTTCAAATGTGCAGGAGATCGCTACAAACGTAGCAAAAAGTAGTTTTTATTCAGCTTCCATGTCTATATTCACCAAACACCAAAGTCCATGCTCCAGGTATAAAATCCAACAATGTTCAGTCAGGTCATCTGGACCGTTTCTTTTTTGTGCTGAGACGTTTCGCCCTCCATCCAGAAGGCTTCATCAGTCTGAGGAAGCCTGATGATGAAGCCTTCTGGATGGAGGGCGAAACGTCTCAGCGCAAAAAAAGAAACGGTCCAAATGACCTGACTGAACATTGTTGGATATTCACCAAACCAACTTCCAACCATGATGCATTCTTTGATTCATGCAAGTGGGACGTCAGAACTCTCTCTTTGACTTTGTAATTACCTGCTTTAGAGTCCTGTACAGTAATTCATACCTGCTTTAGAGTC